TCCTGCTGCGTAAAACTGATTTTAATTATGTGATATTTGAAAATTCTCTCACAGGTGCTATAAGTGAAAGTTCTCAGTGTTAAGAACAAGTTGTCACCTAGGCTCTCACTGTTAGGCACACTCAAGTTCAAAACAAATATACAAACCACTATATCAGTGTTATAAATAGACCCTTCATGATAAATAACAGTTTTGATATCACTGATGTTTATGATAGTCACACTTTTAAATTACTGGAAATTTTTACACCTGTGCCATATCAATCATATAACTTCACAGAAAAAAATTAAGAAATTGATTGTTTGCCACTCACTGGGTACTATTACCTGGAAGATTCTAGAGAGACTAAAATGTGGCTACAAATTGTATAACACTATTTTGGCTCACACAATAATGAGAGTTTAGTAACATCTGGGTATTAGGTTAGCAAGTTTTCCTGATTATCTCCAAAACTAAAATTAGTGAGAACCCTACTACCCACAGTGCTTATGTGTGCACTACACCTGCACACTACTAATGTGATAGTCACATGCTTTTCAAGGCTTCTTTTCCTCTGCCCACCTCTGGAATGTTGGAACCCGCAGTACCCCCACTCTCCAGCTCTATTCTCCCTGTGAGTCTCAACTACTCATAGTCTCATTCAGCTATTAAATGTCAGTGAATCCTAAATCTGTGCCTATAATTCCAGCCTGCTCACTCCCTTTGAGATTCAGGACTTGTTTCCAGCTTCCTATTAGGTAATCCCTGTGTGTTCAGGGATTAGCTTTATACTCAGACAAACCGAACTCAACATTTTATCCTATAAGTCTTTTTCTGGATTCAAAGCCTCACAATCAATTCAATAACCAGGATTGAAAACCTCATTTATCCTAAATGTCTCTCTCTCTTCCTTAACAACTCTCTGAAATCATTCACAAATGTCTGAAGTTCTATTCTGAAATCATTCATACCTGTCTAATCTACTTTTAGTTCTATCATAGATCTAATTCAACTTCTCATTCCTCATCTTGGCTTTAGTAAATGCTTTTAAAACTTGTCCTCTCTGCTTCCAATTATTGTAACAGCCAAAACATCCTCTATACTCCACTTCCACTTGACAAATATTTATTAAGGACCTTCCGTGTGGCAGGCCTTCGAGTGGGCATTTAGTAGAGAGTACTGAGTAAAACAAAGACATACTCCTCAGTGCACTTGGACTCTAGCTCAGATTAGGCATCAACCAAGTAAACAAACGAAATAATCCATAGTGAGCGTGCGGGTAAAAATTTAAGTGGTGGGGGATGCTGTGTATACAGAGTGGACGCTCTAGAAAGAGAAGAGGCCAGCCACAAAGACAAGAGTATAACAAAAGGCCTGAGGCAAAAAAAGCCTTCAAGGACTGGCAGGAGGCCCATGGTGACTGAGTTACAATAGAAAGGTTGTATGAGATGAGGTAGGAAAGGTGAGGAGAGGTGAAATCACCCCAGCAATATAGGCCATGATCATAAGTCTGGGTCACATGGGAAGCAGAACTGGAAACCAGGGAAAGGTTTTCTACAAAGGAGTAGCGTGATCTGGTTTACATTTTCAAAAAAAAAAATCACCAGTATTGTTTCCCAATCCCAACATGAAGTTCAGTCCTCTGCATCAAAAATGTTGTATGGCTCCTAATGAATGAGATGACCACATGTTCCAGTTTGTTCAAGTGAGTCCTGGCTTTTGCCTGTTGTCCTAGTATAATTATTAACAGTCCCTTCCTTTCACTCTCATAAGGGCCCTACAGACCATAGACTATATGGTCAACTCACTGATAAGAAATAGGTAAAAATAGTCCTTAGGCTGACATTCCAGACCCTTCTTCTTTTGCTTTTTATTAAGTGTATTGGGGTAACATTGGTTAATACAATTATATAATTTTCAGGTGTACATTATCATTTGACATCTGTATATTCTATTGTGTGTTTACCACCCAAAGTCCAGGCCCTTCTGAACAAGATCCTAACTCACCTCTCTTCCTTTCTCTCCCATCACATCTCTACCTTACAGTGTTCTGGTCGCTCTGAAATGTAATGCTGGCAGTATGCTGAATGAGACATGTATACTCTACTGCTGTGCCTTTGCTCACAT